GTATGCTCGCCTCACTAATACTGTGGTTATCCCATTCGTTACCAATACCCTAGGCATGTTCGGAAGTGATGATCTCAATTTCATCAAAACTTTAGGAAAAAAATGAGGCAGATCTTAAGGAATCCCAATGAAGGATTTTACCTTCAACAGATTTTTTTAAACATTCATTCTTCTCTAGGGTAATTTTTACCCTTTTTATAAATTTTATTTTTTTTAATCTCATTTCTCTTTTATACATACATTATTTTTTAATTCATTTTTAATATGTTATTTGTTTTTTAATATATATTTGTAATTATAATTTGTAAATAAAAATTTGTTTTTTTCTTAAATAAAATATAATATAAGGCATATAAAAAAAATATATATATAATACATTACAGTAGAGTTGTTAAAAGATACTTTTAAATGGATCTAGATACAGATACATAGTCTCAAAAGTTATCTAGATACAGATACAGCGTCTAAAAAATTATCAAGATACAGATACAATTTTTAAATGTATCTGTATACAGATACATTTTTTATTATGCGCTTATAGGTTTGCATAAACCTAAATTAATATTATATTGTGAAAATTTATAAAATGAGCTAAAAAAATTTATTGACGCGATATAACATTTATCAGAATATAACTAAAATAATGATTTTAATATAATATATGAAAATATATGATTAAATAATTATAAATAATTATTAGATTTCAGTAATAAAATATTTTCAAAATTTTGATCATTTAGGCATCCTCGTTTATCTGTAAAGACATTCTTAGCAACAATAAATAGTCTTTCCACAGGGGCGCTTGAAGGAATTTTAGTGTTATATTTAATAAATAACAATTTTATATCAGGGTATTCCTTAAAAATGCTAAAATCTCTACATTCATTTTTGAAAAAATTATTTAAAATTTGTTGATTATCAAAATATAAATCCTTATTAGAAATTATATCTGCTGTAGGGTACTGAAAAAAATCTGAAATTAAATTATTTGTTTTTTTTGTCAGGTTATTTGCTTGCAGTCAGTTGATGACTTTGATAATTCACCAGCTAATCTTTGTATCAACTGTTTTCTTTTATTAAGATTTTCTTCCATTTGCAACCATGTCCAATCAAGTTTAAAAATAGGGTGGAGCATGGTTGCTATAATATTATCATCTTCAAATAAGGTCACAATAAACCTAGAATTATTAAATATTTTTAATTTATTATATTAATTTACCTATCCTCAATCCCTTTAAGTTAGGCATCTAAGAGTGGTAAACAGAATCTCAGGTTCATTTCTTTAAAATTCTTTAATTTGATAATAAGTTGTTGTGAAATAGTTGCACGGTAATAAGCTGTGTACATATACTTATATCCCTGCATATCAAGGGAATTAGCTATTGGCTTCATTAGCTAATTTTATATAATGCTATATATATAAATATTATTTATAACTTACTAAACAATATTCATGAATAAAATCACATTCATTAGGTAAAAACCTAGGTAGTTTTATTCCATCACATATCTTGTCCACATTGTCAGATTTAGCTTTTATAATTTGTGACATTAATTGTATAGCATTATAGGTGGAGTTCCATCTAGTTATATTAGGACATATAAAATAACGACCAATATATTCCTTAATTATCTCAGATGAAATAGGAGACTTATTTTGCCTATTACATATATTTTGGCATTTATGTAGTGTTGTGCTATATATCTAATGAAGAAAATATTACTTATTTAATTAAAATTAGTTTTACCCTCTGATATTGTTTACACTGCATGGCTCTATTGGCATCTGCAGTGGCTATAAGATTCAATGTGTGACTGGCAGGCACAACATTGGTGATGAGTTAAACTTAATGATTCTGATAATTCAGAATCCTGTGCAGTATTATAAAGATTTGATATAGAAATTGGCACAACTGCTTCATCTTCCAGATCATCAATTGATTCACTTGTATTATTTTCAATTGGCTTGAAAACTCTTTAATAAATTAAGTAATCAATCATATATTATGTTTATATTTATTTATAATAAAATAAACCTAAAAAATTTTATAAAATTTTTGGCATTATCTGTAATGGTCTTTGAAATTTTATTTTGAATGCAATAATCCTTAGCTATATCTTGTAAATTTTTTGCTATTTTATCATATGTATGACTAACAGTCATTCTTTTACAAGCCAACGCTATATTTTTTCTTTCCAAACTTATTGGATTTATATAGTGAGCGGTTACTCCTATGTATGAACTAAAAATTAAAATTTCTTAAAATTGCTGAAATAATTTATTCATAATTAATTATTATACAAATTTAAATGTTAGCTATACCGGCGATAGGCACTCCAACAATCTGCTGTTGTGCATATTAATGATGGTTCTATAAGACTTTTAATTATTTTTTTTCTTTTCATTTTCCCATCTTTGGGAAATTCTACTAACAACTGTCTGTCGGCAAATTATTTTTTTGTGTGGAGCCAAAGTGTTGATCATTTTTTTAAAAGAAGGATTTTCAACAATTGAAAATGGCTGCATGCCATCTATAATAAAAGCAATAATTAAATCATAGTGCCTTGAGTTAAAGTCAAAGGACTTTTGGCAAAAATATTATTGGAAGATGAGCCTTGTCCAATATTTTCTTTAGTAGTTTTATTTTCCTTCCCCTTTTTTATTTTTGTTAACAAGGTTGGATGTTTTATCTTAAATTTTAATTAGAATTTAAATATATAATATCTATACCCTTATGTGCTTCACGATATTGCACGTTGAAGTCATACTGACGGATATTTTTGTATTTTTAGGTAGACACGGCAAACATTTTACCATCAGAGAATTGTTTTCTTTGTTTTGAGTTATTATTTTAAAATATGCTCTATAAATTGGCCATGGTAAAGCAATAGAACTTGTTGTTGCTTCCTTTTCTTCATCGATATAGATCTAAATAAATATATAAACTTAAAAATTTAGTTATAAAATAAAATTTACCATTTCCATATTGTAATATTAAAATTTGTATGGTTTATTGATAAACTCGGACATAATATTTAAATTAATGAATATTTATATATAAGTTTTAATATTTTATGTATATATAATTCTTTATTATAGTATTAATAAATATTAATATATAATATATATAGTATCTTAAAAAGTATCTAAAAACAGATACAGATACCTTTTTAAAAAATCTATCTAGATACAGATAATACATTTATAGTATCTAGATACTTGTATCTAGATACTTTAACAACTCTGCATTACAGTATATATATTTTTTGTATTTTTTTATATAGCTTATACCTTTTAATTGTGAAATTGCAAACGTTTTTAAAAACGAGATAAAATATTTAGCTCATTATAAAAAATAAAATAAAATATTTTTTTAAAAAAAATTGTAAACAATATTTAAACTTATGTACCTTTTAATTTTTCTATGTCTTGCAGGATTGCTTTAATAAATGGCGCTCAAAATTCACGGAATTATTTGGGAGTGAGATGTCCCAAAGAGCTGTAGCAACAGGTTACATAACATATAAAATCTTTAGTTTCGCGGGGATTCATAATCTCTTGATTTTAAATCCTTTTACCGAGGGCTATTTCAAAAATTTTTAAAATCCCAATTTAACCGGAAATGTATTCTACGCATGCGTAGAGTATTCACCCTGTAAATTTTAAGCCAAAAACATTAAATTAGCATAAATTTAGAAGTGGTTCTAAAGTTCATGGCTAAAATTGGCTGAAATTTATAGGGTTAAAATACTCTAAACATGCTAGAAATATATTTCCGTTTAAATCGGATGTATCCGAATCCCCATACGACAAATATATATATATACATATCGTGTTTTTTTTAAAATTAACCACTAAACCATACAATATCTAGGATGGACGACTTTTCCTTACCTGAAGATCTCTGCAATTCGGATTTATCATCAGATTACTTCGAATCGGTTATTCTCCCTTAAATAAGACTATTAATTTGGCGGAGTTATAACCGGTTTAAATCAGATATCTTCCCATTTATTCTCTTAAAAAATGGCGGCACAGTTTCGAGGACCGCCCATGTTTTATTCCCCAGTTGAGGAAATGCTTGAGTTGGGAGACACTTTTACAAAAATGCAGATTTTGTACTCTTAATCTTTTTTCACTCGGTTTAAAAAAAAATGTTTTGTATTGGAGCCGGGGCAGGTTGAATCATCTTCACCTGAAGAAAATATTTGCAATTGACAATTAATATTCTTTAATAACATAAATTTATAATATCCGAGAATAAGAATGTAATTAACATATCTTGATTGGTTTAATAAAGGATTAGAGGATTAACGATCTTGAATAAAAATTTAAAATAAAAATAGAAGGAATTTGGTGGTTGATCTGGCTGGCTTAAAAAAACTCGGCTTAAATTATTAAATTAAATTTAAAAAAATAAATAAAAAATAATTTTATAATTACGATAAAATATGGATTTTTCTATATTTTTTTAAGAAAAATTTTTTAAGTAAAAGAAGTATTTTTGCGTACGAATGGCGTTTCTTTTCTAGAAAAAAAATGTAACTCCGTTAGTAACGACGTTACTTTTAAGATTACTTTACAGAACTTATTTCAAATCGTAAACATCTTGTCACACCATTAGGTAAATACTGTCTATAGAAATTATATATTAAATTTTCCGACGCCTAATATTTAACGTCTCATATTTTATATTAAAAAAATTAAACTTATCCTATCTAATCTATCTAAATATATATACACTAAAGTAAGATGCTAATTTTTGATCGATTGTCAAATTTGATTTCTCTCAGTTTCCTTTACCCGTCAATCAAACACGAGATTTAAGTTGCGAATTATTTACATTATTAGTAAATAATTTTGCTTCTCTCTTTTCATTAATACAGGAAATTGAATTATTTTTTTCACGCATTCACGAAATTTTTAAAACATAAGAGCATACAAGTAAATTATAATAATAATTATAATATAAAAGTTACATAATTAGTAATAACGTCAATCTTTACCAGTTTCGATCTACGCATTTATTATTTACAAAGTTTTATGCGAGCCGGTTTATATATTTGCGGAATAACGGATCGAGCGGGTAAAAAAGTAGGTAGTCATATTTATAAAAGCCAATCAAACTCACGAGTAAATCCTCCGGGAGCGACTCGAGTAACACGCTTTCGTGATCGGAATAATCGCGCGAAATTGTCTTACTCCTAAACATATCGATCAAGGTACGCGAATGAGCATCACCGAGATTAAAAGGAAAATATTGTTTAAACGGATTGTAATTCAGGGTGTCCCATCCCGTTAACCCCAGTATTTTCTTCACATCCTGCACCAGCGATTCTTGTTTTCCGATAAAGTCCAATCCACGGCTGCACGGAGCGCAAATATCCGAATAGGGTCTCCAATGTTCGTTCACGAGGTACTCCCTCAAGCTTTCGTTCCTCAAGTAACGAATATTTAAAAGGAACTTGACGAATTTCAAGAAAGTGACGTTTTCATTATTATTATTATTATTAGACTGCTCTCCCGTTTTAAATACCGCGTCAAAATTCTGGCCACCTATTTCGCTCGAATTGCTTGAAGCTAGCAATTCTATGTAATTACGATAACGTGATATAAAATACTCGTTCTTCCATTCGAACTTGCTTCTGTAGGCCGACATTAGTCTGCTTATTGGATTTCTCACGAACATAAATTTTAGGTATTTTCTAGCTTCATAGTTATCATCACTCATGACGAGATTCGATAATATTTTAAACTCAAATCCTTCCACGTAGTGTCCTAAAGAATCATTGGGAATCATAGAAGATTCGAGTAACGTTTTGTAGGATAAATTATTGGAAACCATAAAGAAGCTCTTCCAAGAAGTCGAGGAAGCCTTAGGCACGTAACAATATATTACCCCCCTGGCCTCGTCTACAATTTTATGGGATAGAGCGTAATCATTCATCACCGAGTACAAAGGTGATATCGCTGAACAGACGTGTTTGAGCCAGCCTATTCGAGCTATACCCAACGTTTCTTCGCTTAAATTAAGAAGGCTTCCATCGGGGTTGTATCCCGATACGTTATATTTGGTTTTAAGATACTCGAAATATTGTAACTTTTTAAAATGAGATCGATATTTTTTTAAAAAAATAAATAAATATATTATTTACCTCGGAATTCGGGATATTCGACGAATAATCATACGGGTTCAATTTCCGCAAACATTTTATTAAATCTATTTTTTTTTTAAAAAAAAATAGGAAAAGAACTAAAAATTAATTTCCATAGATTTTTTTTTTAAAAAAAGAAAAAATTATAAATTTTTTATAAAATTGAAATGTTGAATTGTCCTAAAATTTATCGATATTTTTTTTATTGATTAGAAAAAAAAATAAAAATAAATAATATTAAATAATTTGTCAAATTTAAGTCTTGTTAAACGGCTTGTTTTAAGCCGATTTTTTTAAAAAAAGAAAAGACTAACTCAGTATTTCGTCCAGAGAAAATATTACGCGAGCCTGACGATAACGAAGGTCCTAGGTATATATTATCGAAATCTTGAGGCATATGCAATATTTTTCTGGCTATTGAGTTAGCAAAATGAGCCGTTTTTAACAACACTAGTCATCATATTTTTCTTACTTTTGTAATTTAGGAATTCGAAGTAAACTATAGTAAATGAACAGAATAATGATGCCCATAGCAGATATCTTTTGAATTCCGAGATGATCATCGAAGAAAATTATTTATTTTTTTCAAATTTTTCTATCTTTTATTTATTACATATTATTTATTCGTTTTTTATAAAAATTGCTTATTTAAGCAAAAAAAAATTTTTTTATACATAAGTAATAAAAAAATTTTTTTTTCTTCTTTTATACCCTATAAAAAAAAAGAAAATTGCAAAATAATTATTACATATTATTTTTTGTTAATATTTTAATATTTTAGACAAAAATTTCTGAAAAATTAATTATATACTACACTTTGATATCACTAATTACCAGGGTTGTTGAAGATTCTAGATACAAGTATCTAGATACTGTATCTTGATATAAAAATGTGGTATATGCATTTAGATGTAAAAATGTGGTATCTGCATCTAGATAGATTTTTGATTAAAATATATGTATCTATTATATTATTTTAGACGATGTATCGGTATCTAGATCCATTTAAAAGTATCTTTTAACAATTCTGCTAATTACTATAGAATTATTATATTATATCTTTTCAAATCACACGATAGCCATTACATTTTGGTATTAATATTATATATTTTATCTCTTTTTTTTTTGTATCTTGTTTGCGGCTATAAGTTAAACATAATGGTTAAATTTTTATATACAAACTTTTGTTAAATTAAGTTGTAACTGAGCTTTCCCTAAATAAATTAACAAGTTACGCAAGCCTGAAGATTTTGCTCATAGAAGGAACAAAGGTCTAGACATATATTCTAGAAATCTCGAGGCTTATACAACATTTTTCTGGTTGAAATATAAAGTTAGTTAGGCTCAAAATGAGTAGTTTAACAACACTATTAACAACACATTTCTTTTTATCATTTTTATAGGTGACACCTTGTTATATTGTGGAAATAATTTAAATAAAATCACTCGAGGTGATAATGAAATATTTTATGTAAAAGTTAAAATCGATTTAAATGTAAAAGTAAAAAACAAATTAAAGGTAAAAAGTTAAAAATGATTTGAAATGGATGTATAACGATAAAATGTAAATAGATTATATTTGAAAAACATAACTGTAGGATATTGATATACTTATAATTTTTCTTGTGTATATTGTTAGGTTTTTTTTGTTATATTACTAGTTAGAAATTTATATGTTATAATAAAAAAGATAAAATTAAAAATTTGTGTTTTAAATGTTTCAGCTTTTAATCGTATTAATTATTGTTTAAAAATGTGTCAACTTTAAATTATAAAATCCCATCCTCATCACGTATCAGAGAAATCGTAAAATTCTTATATGATGGCAGCGTATTCCGATTTACAATTCTTATAATAGTCTCAGTTTATAGTTACAATATGACAGCGATTTCGATACATCATGATTATAAGATGTCCATCACGCTTTGAAATCAGGCAACATCGCAATACTTCGACGCACAAATCCATTTCGTTTATAACGAGACAAGATTGGTCCATTTCTTCTATTACGATAATGCAGATGACATGCAAACTGCGTTTTCGGCCATACAAGGACAGGAGTCCACTGACTCCTATGGGGATAGTTTCTTTATTAATGCTCAATGCTATCAAAGAGATTGAATCATTTGACCAACGCTACCAGATAAATTTATTAGCTTGTATTATTCAATTTTATATACGTAATATAAATACTATTTTTTTTTCGTGTGACATATGATATAAATAAGATGTGAAATAAACGATCATTATAAAAATATAATAAAAAAATATATACATTATGAAACCGTTAGTAAATACAAAAAATAATATAGTTGACGTACCGGCGTTTACAAACGTTGAGTTTTTTTTAAAAAGATTCGATTGAAAAAGGGAGTATTTTTACAAACAGATTACCAGAAGACGAGTACTTAAATCTAGAGGCAATCTGTACATCGTCCGAGTTCTCTAATCTTACAAATTTAATCGAGAAGTTTAAACTTCTACACCCTCAGGTGAAAAATTTCCGGCCTGGGTAACTCGAGTATGTGGTTTAAATACTAAATGTAAGTATAAAGACTGTGAGATAGCAATAAAAAAAATAAGGCTTTCATCGATAAGTAAGAAAATCAGGCAGAGAATTTCTAAAATGGAAAATGTAAATATAGATATGATACTAAAGGCAGCAGCAGATTTAGAAGAGAAAGAAGCGTGTGACAATATTTTAAATAAAATTGATAATATAAAAATAGAAGAAGGAACCACGGTGAAAGCGATAGATGAGGTCGAAGTCAAGAGGATAAGTTCGGATAATCAACTGGTTATATACGATGGTAACAATAGATTGGCATGTACTTCAAATAATAATGGGTTTAGACGGCAGTGGACACCTAGATGCGATAATTGTCAGAGGTTTCAAGGAAACAATTATGATTCACGTTATCGTAACAATTTCAATCCGCGGTATCAAAATAACTTTAATCATAGATATCAATATAATGACAGAGAGCCAAGATCGAGATTTAATAATGATAATTATAACGATAGGCGTAATTATGACAGATACAATGATAGAAATAATAATGATTCAAGATACAGACCGAGATATAATCAGAATTACGATCAAAGTTATAATCGTAACTACAATCAGAATTGCAACCAAAACTACAATCAATCGTATAATAATAACAGATATCGAAATAATGACAATAAAACGGCGATACTCAAATAAAGTAAATACGGTCAATATAGAAGAAATAAAGGAAATAAAGGATGTAAATTGTGATAAAATCGAAAAAGAAGAATATAGTCTTTTTAATGTGGATATAAATAATCTTGATGATGATAATAGCAAAGCGTATGACGCATGTAAAATCACGATGCACCTTAATGATGTGCCTATTGTAATGCAGATCACGGGGTCAGGATTCTCGATACTACCAATAAGTGTTGCAAGAAAAATTGGTATTAAAACATTAAAGAAATCGGAAACAAAACTTATGGGCTACGATGGGAGAATGATAAAGGTGTTGGGCACCGTTGACATCAAGGCAAAGTATGGAAACAAGACAGAGACCTTGAACATACACGTAGTGCAGAGAAATAAAATACCGCTGTTAGGTAGGACATGGTTGAAAGCGTTTGGCAACATATTAGATCAATTTGTAAACCATGTCGAAGAAAATTATGATGATGAAATACAAAAGTTGATAAACGAATGTAAAACCAAAATTGACAAAAAGCCTATAAATCGCAGTTATGTTAAACTTTATCTTAAGCAGGACGCTGTACCAAAATTAATACCGCCAAGACGAGTGCCATATAAACGACATGAATTGTTAGCAAAGGAGTCGCAGAAGTGGATCGATGACAAGATAATCGAGCCAGTGGACGACGTACACTGGGCAAGTCCGCTCACACCTGTTTATAAGAGCGATGGTACATTGAGGCTTTGCGTAGACTTCAAGAGCACAATCAATCCTGCACTGGTAGACTTCAAATACCCAATTCCAAGAATCCATGACCTTATATCAAAGCTGTCAAAAGGCAAGAAGTTAACAAAAATAGATTTTAAGAATGCTTTCCTTCAAATACCAATTCACAAAGAATCAAGAAATCTCCTCACCACCACGCATAGAGGCTACTTCAGATTCACCAGACTTTCTTTCGGTTTAAAGACATTATCAGCTATTTTTCAACAGACTATGGACAAGATTTTTGGTGATTTAAAAGACGTTATTTTCTACATTGATGACTTGTTAATCAATGGTGATGATGACGAAAAACACATGAAAAACATAAAATTGGTTTTTGACAGAATCTCAAAATATGGACTAATATCAAATTTTACGAAGAGTATTTTTTCAAGAAAGAAGATTTCTAGGACATGACATCGATGATAAGGGGATTCATAAGAATGGAGAAAAGATAAAGGCCATTACGGACATGCCAGTACCAACAACTAAAGAAGAACTAGCAACGTTTTTGGGCATGGCTAGTTATTACCGAAAATTTTTATGTAATTTTACGGATTTGCGGATCCATTATATAAAATAGTAAATAAAGAAAAATTTTTGTGGAATGACGTACATCACCACCATCTTACAATCCAGATTTGCCGATAGGTATCGCGACGGATGCTTCGAAAAAAGGTTTAGGTGCTGTATTATTTCATATAGAAGGAAATGGCAAGGAGATGCCTATAGCATACGCATCTAGAAGTTTATTAAAAGCCGAAATTAACTATACAAATATCGAGAGAGAGGCTTTAGCAATAGTATATGCAGTGAAGAAGTTTCAGGAGTTCCTCATAGGCTCCAAATTCGTCATTATAACCGACCACAAGCCACTCGTTTACATATTTACAAAAGGACTAAAAGATAACACGTCAATATCGATGAGATTGCAAAAGTGGAATTTGGCTATGGGAGCTTACGATTTCACGATAGTCCACAGAGCTGGTAATCGCAATACAATACCAGACTGTTTATCAAGATTACCACAAAGAAATACTGAAGAGGGTATACAAAATATAGAAAATAATGAGATTACTAGTGATTTATGGCACATACCAATTAACTTTCAAAGAATAGTGAAAGAAACAAACGATGATGATGAATTAATGGAAGTAATAAATAACATCAAACATGGCGAAGATATAAAAACAAAACATACAAGAATATGGAAATAGAGTTGAGTTTGATAAAGAATTGCCTTTTTAAAGAAAACCGAATCATAATACCGAGGAAAATGAGAAATGAGATGTTAAAAGATTACACAAAGGACATTTAGGCGCAGGCAAGATAAAATTATTGGCGAAAGATTATTTATGATGGCCTGGTATAAATGCAGATGTAGATCAAGAGGTAAAAGAAAAGAATGTAACAAATGGGCAGACAATCCACACAATATACAAAATCC